CATCCATATCACAGGATCATGGCTCATTCGTTGAATGCCAATCCCCAAAGCCAGGTTTTCACCTGTTTCCTGAACGTTAAGATCGAAGGGGCAGTTCTGATCTCCAGTGGAAGGGAGTTCCAGAGTCGAGGGGCCACCACCGAGAAGGCCCTGTCTCTCGTCCCCACCAGCCGCGCCTGTGAGGCCGGTGGGATCGAGAGCAGGGCCCCTCCAGACGATCTTAGTAATCTTGATGGCTCATAGGGGAGGATACGTTCGGACAGGTAAATTGGGCCGGAGTCATTTAGGGCTTTATAGGTTAAGACCAGCACTTTGAATTGTGCTCGGAAGCTGACTGGCAGCCAGTGGAGCTGGCGCAACAGAGGAGTAGTATGCTCCCTGTACCCCGCTCCCGTTAGTAACCTGGCTGCCGCACGTTGGACTAATTGAAGCTTCTGGGCAGTCTTCAGAGGCAACCCCACGTAGAGAGCGTTGCAGTAATCTAAACGGGATGTAACCAAAGCGTGGACCACCACAGTTCTGAAAGAACTGCAGTTTTTAAAAGATAGGAATATGGGGATTAAGAACCTTGCTGATTGAATTCTTCCTTGATTTTAAATGTTATGCATTACATGTGTATATTGTGAACCGCTCCGAGCCTTCGGGGAGTGGCGGTATACAAAATTGATTAACAAATAAATAAAAATAAATAAATGTGAACCTGTGGATAATGTTTGTCTATAGCTTGAGTCAGAGCTGCTATTGCTAGCCTGCAGGGCATGTAGCAGGGGGGGGGGCTGACTCCCCCCCCCCCCAATTCTCAAGGTGGTCTGCGAGAAGGCCTTACTGGTACATTTTTTTAAACTGTTATGTTTATTCATATCATGATCTGATCACCATGCTCAATATATCCCATATGCATGGGGGTAGTGGGATAACGGTACATGAGGTTTGCTATGGTAGATCCTTTCTCACTCAGACTCCAGCCCCCCCCCCCCCCCCCCCCCCCCCCCCCGGGAATCAAAATCCTACTATCTGGTCAGACTGTATCATCTATTTCCAAAGCAAACGCAAGGAACTTGTTATCTCATCTTTTTAACTAGATATGCTTTAAACTGAATTTGGAATTTTTTATGTACAAAATAAAGCTCTACTACCAATCTGTGGATCTTTTCCCCAGCATAAAGTTGGCAAAAATGCATAGCATGTTTTGAACACACATAGCTACTTTATACTGAACGAAATTCTTGGTCTGTGTAACTTAACACTGTCTGTGCGATCTGGCAGTGATATTCTCAGGTCTTTGTCATATTTGCTCCCCAGGGCAAGCTTAACTAAGCTCTCAAGAGCTTATGCACTCTAGGCTTTTCCATTGAGTTTCGGTCCCTTTGCCAGTCTAATATTGTGAATCCTCATTTTACTTGTTGGATTCAGATAACCTGTGTATGTGTTTGGTTCCTATTGACTCGCAAAAGGCATAATTCATTTCTTTGCCATAGCTGCAGTAGGGTAAACATGAGTTTGGATAATGAGGCTAACAGTGAAAGTATTGTTTTATATTTTAAAAATGTTTTAATGTATGTATTTTATAACTCTGTTTTTAAATGCTGTTTTAACTGCACATTGTTGAAGGTATCAAATGGTTGCCTAGCTGTAAAGCCACCTTGAGTCACCTCTGGGTTGGAGTAAGGCGGAGTAGAAATGTCGTAAATAAATAAACAAACAAACATAGTGGGCTAAAACCAGTGCTGCTGTACTGCAACAGGCCTGCCCCGGCAACCTTGATGGTGCTTGAAAATCTTCCCCAAAGGGTTTCCCAACACTCTGAAGCCGTTCGAAGGCACATGAGGATGTAGCTATTATTATTTTTTATTTATTTATTTACAGCTTTTATATTCCGCCCTACTCACCCTGCAGGGGACTCAGGACGGATTACAGTGTACACATATATGGCAAACATTCAATGCCAATTTTTGTCATACAAACATATACAGACATACACAGAGGCTATTTAACTTTTTCTGGCCGCCAGGGGAGGTGTCGCTTTCATCGTCCATCTGCGACGCTGATGAAGTACTTCCGCATTCCGCGCATGCATCCCTGCTGGAATGCTTTGCTGGAGTCTTCTTTACAGTCTCATAAATCAGTTAATTTAGCCTCCCCACACTTTTAATGTGGTACCTAATTTTCCTACTTGACAGATGCAACTGTCTTTCGGGTTGCAAAGGTCAACAACAGGCTACACACAATTGGTTGGAAACCCACTCCAACCCGGGATGGCTTTGAACTCATGACCTTTTGGTCAGAGTGATCTTTAATGCAGCTGACACTCAGCCAGCTGCACCACAATCCCAGTGGCTACTGTGAATAAGAGAGAGAAAATGGCCCTTCTCCTGATTTAACTAATGGAACCGCTGAATGTTGGATCCTGTTGGATCCTGACTCATACATATCTAAATGCTCTGAAGTTGATAGAAAATATCACCATCTCAGCAGTACTGGTGAAACTGATTTATTTCACACCTGTCTGGATCCTGAAACCTGGATAATGGCCATATAATAATAATGCTATGCACTCTAAGAGCTGACAAAACATGGCAGTGAGATATGAAATTAGCCGACTTAGCCTGATGGATAATATGTTGCTGTTTTTCTTTTTTAAAAAAATCAGTTCTATATCCCTTTCATTCTCGAGCATTGCTAAGAATCAGTATCTGTGACCTATGTAAATAAAACTATATTCTGTTCTCAGTGGGTCTTTGAAATTCCCTTTTTTTCCCCTTTGAAACACTATGTAACACAATTTTTGTTCCTAGGTTATAAATGTCATTTTCCAATTGGTTCTATCATAAAAGCATGGAAAAGGTTTTTTAAACTGCAGAAACTTTGTTTTTATGGGACGTCCTGCAGCACATTTTGCTATACTTTTTCAATGTGTATCTCTTAGAGTCTCCACATAGTATGTAGCAGTCATAAAAATGAAATTTCTGGAGTATAACAACTACTTTCAAACAGGAAATAACACTTTCAAACCAGGAACAGAAAAAAGTCAAATTGTGTTGCTTATTATTGTTTTTATTGTTGTTGACTTCATTTTTACCCCGCCTTTCTCCCCAAGGGGACTCAAGGCAATTAACAGTCACACACTTTAATCAATTTAAAGCAAAGCAAATACAATTTTTAAAAAAAAATTAAACAGTACTGTGTGTTAGCTTAAAAATACAGTCAAAATACCATAAATACAACTGAAATGCATTTTAAAATACATTGGAACAGAACAAGTAGCAAAAATATTCAGACCTAACTTTGAATATTAGGTTAAATATCTGAATGTTAAGAAATGAAGTGACTCTATGTGTCCTGCAATCCATATTTAATCAATGTCTTTTTATTTCTTCAAATATTATTAAATTATCAAAGCTCTTATATCTCAGTCTTAAAAAATAAAATCATTCCTGAATCCACTTAGGTTTAATTGATTAATACGTCTTAGTGTCAAAAAAGTAAAATCAGCTTACTCATTTACAATTAATTAAATATTATATTTATTTTATTATTTGATACCATATTGACTAAGGACTATGATACTGACTATGCAATTGTATTACCATTATTATTATTTATTAATTATCAGCCTCTCCTGGTGGCTCAAGGTGGGATTCAACAAATTCAAAAACATTTGAACATAAAATAAATATAATAAGTCACATAGATAGCTGCCTTGAATCTCTTGTGGGAGAGATAAAGCGGGGTATAAGTAAATATAACAACAACAGCAGCAGCAGCAGATAAGAACACAAAATATTTTTAATATGCACCTAACACATATACAGAATGGATATATAGTAGCAATAAAATGTAAATCAAAACTCATCATTCAAAGTTGACTAGCTAGGCCTGCTGGAAGAAATGGTCTTCAATTGTGTTTTAAATTCCAACAGCTCATTTAGTTGTTGGATCTCTTCCAGCAGGTCATTCCACAGTCTAGGGACGATGGTTGAAAAGGTCCTCTGGGTGACAGTCACCAGTCAGGTCCTGGCTGGTTGGTATAAGCATCTGCCAGAGGGCCTAAGAGTCCTGAAGGTGAAGGCAATACTGGAGGTTCTGCAGTCTAATTCTCCTATTGACTGTAGTGCATTTACGAGTTTGCTGCTGAACTTCAGTTGCATGTTATGTCATTTTTTAAGGAAAAAACTGTTGGAAAACATTCAGGAGTTGGAAGAAAGGCCTTGGGTTCCTAAACTAATGAGATATATTGGGGCACAACATATCTCATGAAAACATTTCATTTATATTATTAAAATATATGGGTTATTGCTTATTTCACATATATACAGAGGTTTTTTGTTACATTTGTGCTACACACCTACACACTGCAGCCGACACACTAAAATGTTGTGACACACAGTTTGGAAAGCTCTACCTTAGCCAATATAAAATAGTTGTAAAACAATTATCCACGCTTTATAATACAATTAAGGTTATGAAAGATAGATTTTTATGGTTCCTCTGCGTGGTCCTGTGAAATGCACACATATGGATTTCTACGCCTGCGCAGACAGTTTCGGAACCTTCTAGAATTTAAAAGATACTTTTTGGCGGTAGCATTGCCCATTCTCCCCTGATAGTATAAATAGCTATTTTTACATTAAAAATAGATTATTTGGATAAGTTGCATGTGACTTTTGGGGTGAACTTCCTATTATTATTATTATTATTATTATTATTATTATTATTATTATTATGTTTGCTATTATTTATACCTCCTTCTCCAAGGACTGCATTTAGGACTGTTGAGTTAAATAAATACAAGCCTGAATGGATTTAACACAACAATTCTTCTGGTAAATCTACAGATTCTTATAGTACTCTATAATTTGTATGTTATTTGAAAAGATTGTAGCATAGTCCTGCGTATTGTTTCAATAATTATACATTCCTTTCCTGAGTAATTTTGTCTTAAATCTGATTTTATGTGTTTCTAAAAAAATTGATGTTGTGTGTTTTCTGTTTGTATTTAGCAGAGGCAAATGACTGTGATGAGAAACTGGACATTTCTCTACTCCAAACAGGTAAAAAGCTGTTGATTTATAACTACTTACCGATTTCTTGTTTGCTGCTTTGGCTCTCATTACAGCTGGAGTAACTAGCATATCTTTACATAATACTTCTTACTGCAGTACACTCTGTCTATTGTAGCTTTCAGAAAACACACCTCCAGTTCTCCTTTCCCACCCACAGCCTGAACATCTAACCCATAGATCTTTCATGAAGACTTTGCACTGACTTTCGCTATCTATTCTCCTATATATGTGAGTTACATGGATCATAAAGATGAAAAAGAGGTTGCCTGCTCTTCATTGTAGTTCTTCAGTGGACAACTGTGAGCACAGAGATGTTCTCCTCCCCTCTTCATATGGTTTTTCTCTCCAGGCTTCCTGATGGCAAACTGGGTTTTGATGGGAATGTGCAGTTATATGTTTGTGGGTGAGGGGTTTGAGGTTCCTGCCAAAGCACAGCTGTAGAAGTTTCTGAAGATTTGTGCACATGAAGAATGATCCCTGCATATAAGTTACATACCCCTATAGCCCCTGCAATTTTGGTAAGGAAAAATAATGGTCCATGTTTTTAATAAAATTGTTACATGATGCTAGGAGGAAAATCATCTCTTCTAATGTAGTTTCATCCCAACTGCTAATTTTTATATAAGAGATTATGAGCATGACATACAAAGGTAGTCACATTAGTCAAGAAATCCTATTTCCAGATTAGTTATTCTCAGTCTGCTTCTGCCAAAGAAATAGATTGGACTTTTACAGAAGTATAAATGGAACCTTTATTGCTTTTGAATAAGAGAATAAAGTAATTTTGTGATTTTTTTACAGATTTTAAGAGATAAAATTAGACAAGAGTAGCTGTATCAGAACAAATATGCTTTGTCCCAAAATGAATATTTTGGTGAGGCAGCATAACTTCCTTTTTAAAAACTTCCTTTTTAAAATGTGGTTGACGACATAGTGGAGCGCTAGTGGTCTCGTGGTCTTGTTCGAGAGGCAAGAGTATAAAGTTTTGTCCTGACACAGTTCAGTCACCATCATGCATTGGAACATGCATTTTGCCATTTAAGCCTACTTTTCGAGCGGATTTGGAGTGGCCGGCCCGCTCTCCAGATTTGGCCCCTTGTGATTTTTTTCTATGGGGTTTTTTGAAGTCCCATGTTTATGTAAACCTTCCAAGGACCCTACAAGATTTGAAGACCAACATCCAGGAAGAAATTGACAACATATAACGCCTGCTATGCTGGCAAGAGTCATGACAAATGCCAGAAATCGGTTTACTCACTGTATGGAGAATGGAGGACATCACCTACCTAATTTGATCTTCAAAACTACGTAAAACAAAACTTTGGGTATGAACCTACATTATAAAAAAAATCTGATTCATACAATTGGTTTTATTAAGTTTTGAAAAAAGGAAGTTATGCTTCCTCACCCTGTAATATAGAGTGGGGGGATAACAATTTACCTCAAAAACCTGGGCTATCTTGTTGTTTAGATGTAGTCTTCTTCAGGGGGGAATTAAGATACAACAAAGGTCTATCCACGTGCCTATGTTTTAGAAAGTAGATTTAAAATCCAAATTTCCTTGTATTTTAGGGCATACCTACAACCATAGCTTTTCTTTTGCTTTGCACTGACTTTTTCTTACGGGTATTTCACTGTCTTTTGAAATAATAGGAGACATAAGAGAACATTCATAACTTTAGGTTGGCTTTTGTTGTTTATTCATTCAGTCACTTCCGACTCTTCATGACCTCATGGACCAGCCCACGTCAGAGCTTCCTGTCGGCTGTCACGACCCCCAGCTCATTCAAGGTCAAGCCAGTCACTTCAAGGATACCATCCATCCATCTTGCCCTTGGTCACCCCCGTCTTCGTTTTTCCTTCCATTTCCCCATCATCATTATCTTCTCCAAGCTTTCCTGTCTTCTCATTATGTTGGCAAAGTACTTCATCCTTGCCTCTAATATCCTTATCTCTAGTGATCAGCCGGGCATTATTTCCTGCAATATGGACTGGTTTGATCTTCTTGTGGTCAAAGACACTCTCAGAATTTTCCTCCAACACCACAGTTCAAAAGCGTCTGTCTTCCTTCGTTCAGCCTTCCTTATGGTCCAGCTCTCACATCCATAGGTTACTACGGGGAATACTATTGCTTTAACTAGGCAGGGCTTTGTTGCCAGTGTGATTTCTCCACTCTTTACTATTTTATCGAGATTGGCCATTGCTCTCCTCCCAAAAAGTAAACATCGTCTGATTTCCTGGTTGCAGTCTGCGTCTGCAGTAATCTTTGCACCTAGAAATACAAAGTCACTGCCTCCACGTTTTCTCCCTCTGTTTGCCAGTTATCAATCAGTCTTGGGAGTTTTTTTTTATGTTTAACTGCAACCCAACTTTTGCACTTTCTTCTTTCACCTTGATTAGAAGCCTCCTCAGCTCCTCCTCACTTTCAGCGATCAAAGTGGTATCATCTGCAAATCTAAAGTTGTTAATGATTTTTCCAGCTATTTTAACTCCAGCCTTGGATTCATCAAGCCCCGCACATCACATGATGTGTTCTGCATACAAGTTGATGGCAGGGGTTCATGGCTTCAATCCTGGTGGCCTTTTCTTCTACCACAGGAGGAAAGAAATCCCAGAATAAAAAAGTAATTCCATCTTGCTCAAATGCCTTTCTTTTGCAGCCAGCATAGTGGAATAGCTAGAGTTTCAATCAAACACGTGAAGAATATTTATTCTACTGAGGGAATTCTTCTTTTCTGCCTTTTTCTTTTCAAGACGAGAAGTTACTGTTAGGACAGAATACAGAGAAACAGAATAATTTCCAATTGGCCAAGGGTCCAGGCAAGGCTGCATTTTATTACCAAATCTATTTAATTTGTATCCTAAACATATCAAGCACAAAGCAAAATTAGACTTGGAAGAAGAAGGTATGAAAATTGAAGAAAGGAACATTAAAAATTTTCGATACGCAGACACCATACTACAAGCGGAAAATAGTTTCAAAGTATTATTGAACAAAGTTGGGAAAAGAAATTCAAAGGCCGGTTTACAGTTGAACACTAAGAAAATGAAAATAATGATCACTGATTATTTATATGACTCTCAAGTAGATAATAAAGACATTGAAATAATCCAAGATTTTCCATATCTTGGCGTAATTATTAATCAGAATGGAGACTGCAGTCAAGAAATCAGAACACTAGGACTCTGAAGAGCACTACAAACAAAATAGAGATATCCTGAAGTGTAATGAAATATCATTGAAAACTAAAGTCAGGGTGGTCCTAGCTACCATATTTCCCATTTCTATGTATGGCAGAAAAGCTAGAAAGTGAACATAGCTGATAGAAATAAATCAAATCTTTGAGATGTTCTGGAGAAGAATTTTATAGATACCCCTAAACGTCTAAAAATACAAATTGGGTCCTAGAACAAATCAGGTCTGAACTCTCACCTTAGAAGCCAAGATGACTTAACTGAGGCTATCATACTTTTGCCGTATCATGAGAAAAGATGACTTATTAGAAAATACAATAATGCTTGGTACAGTAGAAGGCAGTCAGAAAAGAGGAAGCCTGCATTCTAGATGGATAGACTCAATCAAGGAAGCCAGGGCCTGAGTCTGTTTAAATAGGGCTGTTGGTGATAGGGCAATTTGGAGATCTGAAATTCATAGAGTTGTCGTAAGTTAAAGTTAACTTAAAGGGAAATAACAATGACGAGAACAGTTTGTTCCAAACTGTCTTGAATGTTTTTTTCTTTTCCTTCATATTAGTAGCACCTTATCTTGGGCAAATACTACTAGTAGATATGAAGGCACATATCGTTAAATTTTAAGTACTCTATATTTGTCGTGTCAGGGCAACCAGTCAATTATATTACATTTCTAACAGAACAAAGCAAACAAGCAGACAAAATACAAAATTTGTGAGTTTGGTAGTTGATTAAATGTCCTTTGACCAGTATCTGGCCACTTGGAGTGCTTCTGGTGTTGCTGCAAGAAGGTCCTCCATTGTGCATGTGGCAGGGCTCAGGTTGCATTGCAGCAGGTGGTCAGTGGTTTGCTCTTCTCCACACTCGCATGTCATGGATTCCACTTTGTGGCCCCATTTCTTGAGGTTGGCTCTGCATCTCGTGGTGCCAGAGCGCAGTCTGTTCAGTGCCTTCCAAGTTGCCCAGTCTTCTGTGTGCCCAGGGGGAGTCTCTCATCTGGTATCACCCACAGATTGAGGTGCTGGGTTTGAGCCTGCCACTTTTGAACTCTCACTTGCTGAGGTGTTCCAGCGAGTGTCTCTGTAGATCTTAGAAAACTATTTCTTGATTTAAATCGTTGACGTGCTGGCTGATGCCCAAATAAGGAATGAGCTGGAGATGTCTCTGCTTTGGTCCTTTCACTATTTGCTGCTACTTCCCGGCAGATATCAGGTGGTGCAATACCGGCTAAGCAGTGTAATTTCTCCAGTGGTGTGGGGCGCAGACACCCCGTGATAATGAGGCATGTCTCATTAAGAGCCACATCCACTGTTTTAGTGTGGTGAGATGTGTTCCACACTGGGCATGCGTACTCAGCAGCAGAGTAGCATAGCGCAAGGGCAGATGTCTTCACTGTGTCTGGTTGTGATCCCCAGGTTGTGCCAGTCAGCTTTCGTATGATATTGTTTCTAGCACCCACTTTTTGCTTGATGTTCAGGCAGTGCTTCTTGTAGGTAAGAGCACAGTCCAGAGTGACTCCCAGGTTTTTGGGTGTGCTGCAATGCTCCAGTGGGATTCTTTCCCAGGTAATCCTCAGAGCTCGGGATGCTTGTCTGTTCTTAAGGTGAAAGGCACATGTCTGTGTTTTAGATGGGTTGGGGATCAGCTGGATTTCCCTGTAATAGGCAGTAAGAGCACCTAGAGCTTCGGAGAGCTTCTGTTCAATTAACTCAAAGCTCCCTGCTTGAGCGGTAATGGCACGATCATCAGCATAGATGAAGCTCTCTGTCACTTCTGGCAGTGGCTGGTCATTTGTGTAGATGTTGAACATGGATGGGGCAAGCACGCTTCCCTGAGGCAGGCCGTTCTTCTGTTTCCGCCATCTGCTTCTCTGACCCTGGAACTCAACAAAAAAGCTCCTGTTTTGTAGCAGGTTTCCTATGAGGCAGGTGAGGTGGTAGTCCTTTGTGATATTATACATTTTTCTCAGGAGGAGGCGGTGGTTCACAGTATCATAGGCTGCTGACAGGTCTATGAAGACAGCTCCTGTGATCTGCTGCCTTTCAAAGCCATCTTCTATGTGCTGAGTCAGGTTCAACACTTGCGATGTGCAGCTTTTGCCTTTCCTGAAGCCAGCTTGCTGTAGAATCAGAGAGGGGTCTATTTTTTCCATAATTCTATGCAAAATAAGTCTCTCCAGAACTTTGTAGAGGTGGCACAACAGGGAGATTGGTCTGTAGCTTTTTGGATCATTAAGTACTCTATGAAGTGTTGTAGTGATCGTACAAATAATGCACTTCATGGTACCGAAACCTATAGATGTGTTTATAACAGATATGTATCATATGGATATTTCTTAATATTCTGATTTTAAATTACAACTATTCTTTTTCAGGTAACCTTTTTGAAGCCACACATTCTGCACCAGTATTTCATTAACGGATTTGGACATCTACATTGGAGCAGGATACCAGCAACATTTCCAGACTACTTCAATATTTGTGTTCTGTTGTATCATGGCCTCTTGCATTTTCTTCATGCTTTTGTAACATGGGATAATGTAGCCACTAAATTACTTGTTTCCTTTTTTAAAAATCAAAATAGGCTTCTTGAGCAGCAAGGATTATAGTGCAGTTTGTCTGGTTATCACAATAATAGAACAAAATTTGCCTTTATGATTGCATTTTCATACATAAATATATGCATGCTGGCTATTCCATTTCAGTTAAGTGGAGAAAAATAAACACAGCTAGAGGCCTCTTTCCTTTCAGGAGGGAGCTCTGAAAGGCCCCATTATATATTGGTTTCTTTTGTAAAAATCACAGGATGAAAATAATCTAAGTAGTTTCATCAATCATGAATTTTTATCTGTTCTGAAGACCCTCTCTCTATTTCATATTATATTGTTGTTATTATTGGGTAAAAATGATAAATTGTCTAAATTTATATCTAAAAATGAGAAAGAGTATCAATGTATTTGACTGTAAGAATCCCATTCATTGATACCGATATATTGCCTGGTGTTTTGTCCAGAACTGGTCCTGTTAAATGTGATACAAATTGTTTTTGAGAGTGCTCAGATGATGTTTTGCAGACTCTTTACCTCTCCCCTAGCCTTTGAGTCTGGCAGTACTGTCTTGTAGTTCCAAAAAAAGATTTCAAGAATTTTTGCTGCCTGTAGTCTTTATTCCCTTTTTATATACGCAGCTTTTTGGTAATGTTTCCATGAGATTTAGGGAATATACAGTTCCATTTTGTGTGGTGGTGATTGGTTTTCATACCTTCTCATGCCTACCTTCTTGCCTCATGCCAAATGGGTTGGTGAATAGTCCACAGAGAAAATAATATATTTGATAAGAAAATGCATGTGAATGTGTGTCTTGTACAGGGTAAGGCAGCATAACTTCCTTTTTTAAAATGCGTGCCATTCAGTTGGTTGAAGACATAGCAGAACACTAGTGGTCTAGTATGAGAGGCGGGAGTATAAAACTTTGTTCTGACACAGTTCAGTCGCCATCATGCGTTGGAACAGTGAGGAGCGTGCTTTTGCTGTTAAGGCCTCCTTTGCGAGCGGATTTGGAGTGACCAGCCCACTCTCCAGATTTGGCCCCTTGTGATTTTTATCTATGGGTTTTTTGTTTTTGTTTTTTTGTTGTTGTTTTTTTTTTTTTAATCCTGTGTTTATGTGAACCGTCCAAGGACCCTACAAGATTTGAAGACCAACATCCAGGAAGAAATTGCCAACATAACGCCTGCTATGCTGGCAAGTGTCATGATAAATGCCAGAAATCGGTTTACTCAGTGTATGGAGAATGGGGGATGTCACCTACCTAATTTGATCTTCATAACTACGTAAAACAAAATTTTAGGTATGCGCCTACATTATATATATATATATATATATATATATATATATATATATATATTTCTGATTCATACAATGGGTTTTATTAAGTTTTGAAAAAAGGATGTTATGCTGCCTCACCCTGTATATGAGAGCTTCTCCATTGTCTCAACCCAAACAGAATGAGATGAAACTCATCACAAGCTTCACACACTCACTGAAATAAGGGTAGAATAGGACTGCAGTAAAAGGTGTGTGTGGACGTGAGTTTTCTTTTTGCACTTCCTATAAAACAGTTTCTTTATGCATAGATGCATGCAGACTCAGTTTCCAGATCTCTTTAAAGAAAGAATGGTGCAGTTTAGGCCTTCACACATTCAGCTTGCACATGGAGTGCAAATACTTAAAGGCTTGTGTGTATAGAGGGGGAAAGCGCATGACTCTTTATTCAATGGCTGAGTAAATGTGTATGAAACAGAACCTGCCCGCATTACAGGTATATCTCACTTAACACTTTGACAAAAAACGTTCCTTTTTACAAAAACTTTTTATGTCCACCTAATGTCAGGGGAAAACCATTACCTTTACTTAAATCCTCATTTTCCCCTTAACTAGCTGGAAGCATTGGAGGAAAGTTGGAGGAACAGACTTTCAGTGCCAGTTGCAGCAGTATGTCTGCACTAAGCAATGCAATGAAACTTTAGCTGGATAGGAATGGGATTCCACAGTGCCTGCCCTACAAAAGGCAAGGTAGACCATTGCCTCCAGAAGCACTTATTGAGCATGTGTGAACACAAAGACAAAAGGGAAAAGCAGAATTCTGCTTTGTCAGCTATCCACTGCATGTTCAAAACCATGAGATATGTATATTTGGCCACCAAAATGGAAATCATAGGAAAAGTGAAGGCTGGTGAAAGAAATGGTCCCAGCATGCATTTTGAAAGAGCCTTTCAAGTGATCTCTTAACAATTTAAATGTTTTTGTTTATTTATGCAAGGTTTACCTGATCTGGTTGTTTCATTTCACATGACCATATTATCAGTTTTAGATTTTAAAAATATTGAAGCATGTACTCTTTTTTTGTGGTGAAGGATTCTTTCCTTATTTTTTTCCTCATATTTATGGTAACACGTTTTTTGTTCAAGAAGTAACATCAAGGACCATGCCTATTTTGGGTAAATCTGGATTTTTCATTTCTCCATTTTTTAAACGTGGTAAAGGATGAAAATTGGTTGTTTAGGGCCAGAAAATACAAATTAAAACCCACATATCCATATCCACACCACATTGGTTGTTTGACACTTTGCACTTTGTTCCAAAACTAAAGATATGATTTTAAAGAAAAGATTTGAATCCACTTTATCACTCGCTAGTTAACTAATATTTAGATGTATTTAACAATTCCCTTGCTCCCCAAAAGCAGCTGTCCCATCCATTAGAATGGAAATAAATGTGTTTTCGGCCCTCCATATTTTGGTTCAATCCATGTATCAGATACTCAATAGGAGCTTGTCATAGGTGTAAGAAAGATCAGTGTAAACTTTACACTGATATTTACTGTTATTTAAACCCTGCAATTACAATTAGAATAATACAATTCAATATTCTTGCCCTCTTTTGAAGAACAGTGCCTCAATCCTGTTCTCAGTGTAATGTATTGAAGGCTTAATAACAATGTGAAAATTTCATACATAAATTATTATAAGCAAACTGTTAGGTGTTCTTGATAAAGGTATCAAGAATATATTGAAATTTAAACACTTTTACTGAATACCCGCTTGTGTTGCAGTTCAGTTTTTCTTTTATGGAATTTTAAACTTAATCTGACCAACGTTTTGAAATGTTGACTGTGTCCTCTTGATGGCAAGGCAAATGTGGCTTGTGCTATATTCTTCAAAATTGCATCTCTTCCTTAGAGACTGCTAGGATGTTCCCTCATGAATCAAACTTTTCAGTTTCACTAGTAAATCTATAAATAAGGCATACATATTAACACTTAACCAACAATCAACATTCTTTTCGTGGATCTTTAAAAATGTATTTGTGTCTATTTAACTGTGACTACTGTTCAAATTTCTATTCAGAAGTCTTTTTATAGGTTTTATTAGGGAAATCATTCCATATTTAGGTAAAGAAGTGTTTCAATCTTGTGTATATAAGTTTTATTAATATGTACATATTTAGCTATTTTTTAAATTACTATGTTCTTAATAAAACCAACAAGGGACTAGTTGTGAAATGGTGCATAAGACTGTGTTTGTGTTATCAATCTCTGGGAATCCCTCTTTGTCAAGTTCAGAAAAAAAAACCCAATAAATTACTCTGATTCAGCAATTTTCTTGGGTGTGTAAGCTTATTGCCTTTCAGAAAATATTGCTATACAAGTGATTTTTTTTTCTTTAAACTGCCTGGGTCCTATTTGAATATGTGTGGTGCTGTTCCATTATCTGAGCAGAAGCCATTTGAGGCCACTAGAGAGACAAGGATACTTCATTTTATATGGGGGGGGGGGGGAGTTGAAGGAGAAAAACCACTTTCCCTGTTTTCACTGGTTATTCACCCTCGCCCTTCCCATATCATAAAGGAGATTGTTTCCATGACAGGGACATGGGTGGGGGACCGGGGGGGGGGGGCATAACAGGAAAATAGGGGGGAATGGTTTTGCTCCTTCAACCCACCCTCATAAAATGAAGTATKCTTCTRTCTCTAGTGCCCCCTAGTGGTGTCTGCCTGGATAAAAGAACAGTACCCATTTAACTTTTCCAATTATATAATCTTAAAATAGCTGCTTTGAATCTCTTTTTTGGAGAAAAAGTGGGGTATAAATAAACATAAACATAATAATAATAAAGATCGAACTTCAAAGACTCTGACACAAGCCTGTAAAGGTGGCCCCAGTAGTGATCGGCACACTGGGTGCAGTGCCTAAAGACCTTGGCCTGCCCTTAAACACAATCGGCGCTGATAAAATTACCATCTGTCAGCTGCGAAAGGCCACCCTACTAGGATCTGCATGCATTATTCACCGACGTATGATCCAATACAACTGCCAGCACAGATCTTGTTTGCTGTGTATTAATCTTGTTGTGTTTTTAATAATAACTAGCCATCCCCTGCCACGTGTTGCTGTGGCCCAGTCAAGTGACCTGGGAAATGAAGTAATGAGCCTGGATCATTTTAGTCGCCCTCCTCTGGACACATTCCAGCTTGTCAATATCTCTCTTGAATTGTGGTGCCCAGAATTGGACACAATATTCCGGGTGTGGTCTAATCAAAGCAGAATAGAGGGGTAGCATGACTTCCATAGATCTAGACACTATGCTCCTATTGATGCAGGCCAAAATCCCATTGGCTTTTTTTGCCACCACATCACATTGTTGGCTCATGTTTAACTTGTTGTCCACGAGGACTCCAAGAGCTCTTTCTTGAGTCCTGTGTCAAGAAAGACGGGGTAGATATGAAGTAAATAAATAAATAAATAATATTTCTTCTTTTTTCCTGGCTGTACAGAAACATAAATAATTCTAATTATAGGAAGTATTCTCCTCTCCATGGATGACAGACACTATAGAAGCAACATAATGGAGCAGGCTTTCTCTTTCTGCCAAATGCACTTTCACACGTAGCACACTTTCACTGGAGTATCCACTATCATATTCCTTCTTGAAACGAATCACTCTTCAACTATTGCCATCTTGTGGCTTCTGACCTGTTTCACATTCATTTTGTCTGCTAATGGTGTTAGTTTGAATTGGAAACACACAGGCAATTTTAAAATGAAATGTAAATGAATTAGAAATGCCTACAGGAGATCCATTAGCATAAATCCAATCAAGGGACCTTTGTTTAAGTTGTTAAAAATGGCTTAACATTTTCGCCATCTGGAAGAACCAGGGTAACGTTTGCTTACATTCCTTAAATTTTAGAACAAAATTGTTCCCAGTTTTGTTATTCTGTTTCATTTGAATATTTTGTGTAATCAGATTATCATCATTTGCCAAATCTTATGTTCCAGGTAGAGATCTAGCTAGTGGTTATTTAAGCCTATAGATTCCAACGAAAAGATCTCTTGAGGATCTTTCCTTTTGTTCTCCTTTTTCTAGTTGTACTGAGCTGTTGTTTTTTATTGTTATAAATTCAACCTTCAGCACACCCAAATACCTGGGAGTCACTCTGGACCGTTCCCTGACCTACAAGAAGCACTGCCTGAATATCAAGCAAGGGGTGGGTGCTAGAAACAATATTGTACGAGGGCTTGCTGGCACAACCTGGGGATCACAACCAGACACAGTGAAGACATCTGCCCTTGCGCTATGCTACTCTGCTGCTGCGTATGCATGCCCAGTGTGGAACACATCTCACCACACTAAAACAGTGGATGTGGCTCTTAATGAGACATGCCGCATTATCACGGGGTGTCTGTGCCCTACACCACTGGAGAAATTACACTGCTTAGCCGGTATTGCACCACCTGACATCCGCCGGGAAGTAGCAGCCAATAGTGAAAGGACCAAGGCAGAGACATCTCCAGCTCATCCCTTGTTTGGGTATCAGCCAGCACGTCAACGACTTAAATCAAGAAATAGTTTTCTAAGATCTACAGAGACACTTGCTGGAACACCCCAGCAAGCAAAAGTCCAAAAGTGGCAGGCTCAAACCCAGAACCTCAACCAATGGCTGATACCAAATGAGAGACTCCCTCCTGGGCACACAGAAAACTGGGCGACTTGGAAGGCGCTGAACAGACTGCGCTCTGGCAC